CTGGGTGTCCAGTGGGGAAACAGGGGACCGAGAAGGGCTGCCAAGGGGCCAGAACTTAATGTGACCCAATACGAAAATCTTTGGCCCTCGTGTTGCACTTAACGTCCCACAGTTACACTGAGGTTTCTCATCCCTCTGATTTTATAGACAATGCAACCAGTTACCCTCTTGTGTCAGCACTGGGACTGGATCTTGTAATTATCTCTGATTTCCCTTCCTGGTTGCCAACCGGATCTAACTGGGAGGTGACATAGGGATGCAACTAGGGAGTCACAGCATCTCCCTGAATTCTTGAGTCATATCAGAGTCCTTGAATTGTGGGACAAATAGATACATAAACACTCTCCTTGAAATTCTGTCCTCCCTTGGCTTCTGACCTCTCTGATCTACGGTCCATCATGTTCTCTCCCTATCTCTCTTCCTCAGTCCCCTTCCCTGGGTCACTTTTCCCCCGAGGCTTTCTAAAAGTGGAGGGCAGATCCTCAAGTTTCCATTTTCAAAACTCTTTTCATTTATTCTCTCTGACTTGCCAGGCCAGGGTAAAAGGGACTTCAAAAACAAGATTGCTGCCTTCAAAAGGCAGCAAAAGTGGAACCCAACAAATTGGCAGCCATGACGACAAAGTGAGGTGTGGGCCAGGAAGCAGCTGTTCCGGTCCTTCAACTACTATTTTTCCCTCCATGACTACCCCACCTCCCATCTCCAGCCCGAATACAAAACTGCTGACAGGACAGCTCCCCAAATGAACCACCTGACTGCATCATCGCCTTAACTTCCAATCACCCACTAGGTTTTTTTTTTTTTTTTTTTTTTTGGTTGTTGTTTTGTTCTTGTTTTTATCTCCTGGCTTGCCTAGATTATTCTCCCAGACAACCAAGCCAAAAACATGTGCATCCACCCCTATTCTACCCTTTCCACCCAGGCAACTATATGGGATCAACTCTAGGTGAATCTCCTCCCCTCTCTTTTCCAACCCGTTCTCCTGTTTTGGGTGTCAGTTTTCCTGGGCTAGTGTGAGAACCTCCTCCGCAACTGGCTTCCAGCCTCTCTCACCAAACCATCCTCTACTTTGCCCACAAGACAGCCTCTGAGCATGCGTTTCACTGATCAAAAACCTCTCAGGGCGCTGTATTTTCAAATTTTTCATAAAATACTGGGGAAAACACTCAGGGTGTATTGCTGATGCAAGCATCAGAAGACTCCACTCCACAGTGTGAGAACCCAAACTTTTACTTCTCTAAGGACTTAGGTGACGGTGCTTTGTAATTAAAAATAAAAGCCTATTTCATTATGTCTTCTGTAATTAAATTTATATAAAGGAAACACAACTGGCTATGTGGGGAAAGAAAAAATAAGACTCCACTCAAACCAGATTAAGCAAGAAAGGAATTTATTGGGGAGGGGGGGGCATAAGGAGGAGGCATTGGATGAAGGTAGTCCAAGGTACAAAATCCAGTTAAATACTAGGGATGTAGTGCACAACACGATTATAATGAACACTGCTGTTACGCCGTATGGTATATATTTGAAAATTGTTAAGAGAGTAGATCCTAAGAGTTCTCATCACATGGAAAAAGATGTTTTCTTCTCTATAAAATTGATGGATATTAACTAAACTTCATGTGGTAACCATTTCACAATATATATGTTTAACCTTTATGCTGTACACCTTAAACCTATACAGTGGGGTATGTAAATTATATCTCAATAAAACTAAATGGGAAATAAAGAATTTATTGGTTCATGTAACTTGATTTTTTTTTAATTTTTTTAAATGTTTATTTATTATTGAGAGACAGAGGCAGAGAGTGAGCAGGGGAGGGGCAGAGAGAGAGGGAGACACAGAATCTGAAGCAGGCTCCAGGCTCTGAGCTGTCAGCACAGAGCTCGACGTGGGGCTCAAACTCACAAACTGTGAGATCATGACCTGAGCTGAAGTCGGACGCTTAACCAACTGAGCCACCCAGGTGCCCCGGTTCATGTAACTTTAAAGTCCAGGGTTCAAATGATGACATCAGGACTGAATTTCTCTGTCCCTTGGTTCCACTTCTGTGGCGCCATGCTCAGTTTTTACCTCTCCACCCAGACTGCATACTTTCAGATTTCCATCCAGGGGAAAGAGAGCACTTCCCTCCACCCCAAGACAACAAAGTCCTGGGCCTGGCTCCCACTGACCCAAACTGAGTCACTTGGCTACTCTAAACCAATCCCTAGGGCCAGAGGGATGGCAGGTGCAATTGATCTTGCCATAAATCATCCCTAACTTTAAGGACAGAATAGAGCCAACTCCCCCCAGAGCCACTTTACTGCATAGATTATGGCACCGAACCCCAAAAACCTAGGAGCGGTTACTGGAGTCAGGGTGAATGAATGTTGAGAAACTCCGTTTGGTCCTTATTTTTCACATTTTGCCTGAACCACCTCCAGACCAGCAGAGGTCTTCAGCAAGCGTGTAGGGACGAATTGTTAAACCACAGGCTTCTCACCCTCCCAAACTCCAACTTGGGCTTGGTCTCACACTTTCCTCACTTCCCACCCAGGTGTGACCAAATCCCCATGTGGGAGCAGGTGGAGAAAGGAGCTAGTCCCATAGGTCCCATCATTGAGCTCCAGGCTGGGGTGAGGTCAGTCTATAGGTAGTGTTGGACATTCCTCAAGCACTGAGATTTGGAGAGGGCAAAGCTGTAAATAGGAATGGGGAGGGATATTAATTTCCTATTGACACTGTAACAAATTACTAAAAACTTAGTGGTTTAAAACAATACAAATTTGTTATCTTACAGTTCTGGAGGTTAGAAGTCTGCCTCATTAACTAAAACCAAGGTGTTGGCAGAACTGTGTTCCTTTCTGGAGGCTCTAGGGAAGAATCCATTTCCTTGCCTTTTCGAGTTTCCAAAGGTCAAAAGCTCACGACCCTCTTCTATCTTCAAAGCTAGCAACAGCTGGTTCACCCTCGTCACTCTGACTCTTCTGCCTCCCTCTTCCACATTTAAGGACCCCTGTGATTATATTAGATCCACCTGGATAATCCAGGATAATCTCATTTTAAGGACAGCTAATTAACTTAATACCATCTGCAACCGTAATTCCCCCTTGCCATGTAACATAACATATTCACAGGTTTGCAGGGATTAGGCTGTGGACATAGTGGTGGGAGGCCTCTCCCAGCAAAGGCCACTGTGTTCTGAGACCAGTTCTTAGAGTGCACGGAAGGTAAGGCTCCCTTCTTGGAGCTCTGGGATAGGAAGTGTTAGGTAGATAGTCCAGCCCGGTCCCAACAGCTGTCCTCACTAGGCCAATGGCCCAAGTTAAGACTTGAGAAAGCAGCTCACTCAGGAATATAAAAGTGTGACATCACCAAGGTGAGTGTAGAATTTCCCAGAGGGCAGCTGATCTTTGAGGGATGCTGAGAACTTAGAGGAGAACCTGTAGGGGTTACTGTTGATGCTGCTTGAGTCAACAGAAGAGGAAGAAGGAAAGTATGATGGCCTCACAGCCCACCATCTGGGAGAGGGTATCAGTTTTTAACCATCCAGCAACTACCATCCACCTCACTGGAGAAGAGAGAGGTGGAGGGCTGTGGCTTGCAGCCAGAGGAGCCTGGAGCTTAGAGGGGGTTTCACGCTGCCTGGATGAAACAGTCTGGTTTCACCCAAGCAGCTTCTGGGCTTTGGCCTTAGTTGGACTGGGTTCAAATCCCACTCTATTTAGATGGTGTGAACCTTGGAAGGGTTCTCACCTTCTCTGAGCCTCTAGTTCCTTATCTATTAAACGAAAATGGCATCACCATGCTCTTCACATGGCTATTAAGAATTAGTTCTTGGTGGGGGGGGGGGGAGGGGGCGCGTGGGTTGTTCAGTCAGTTAAGGGTCTGACTCTTGGTATCAGCTCAGGTCTCACTCATGGTCTAGCTGATGAGATTGAGCCCTGCGTCGGACTCTGTGCTGACAGCACAGAGCCTGGTTGGGATTCTCTCCCCCTCTCGCTGCCCCTCCCCACCTCAAAATAAACTTAAAAAATTAAATAATTCTTATGCAACATTCTAGAGGCCAGGATTATGAGATAGTGTGAAAGAAGCCCCAGCATGGATTAGCAATAAAGCTACATCTTGAGACAGACATGGGGTTGAATTTTGCCCTTACCAGAACTAGTTGTGTGAGTTTGGGCAATATTTAACCCCAATAAGCCTACATCACTGGGAGTGTTTCCTAGTCATAGAATATGTTTCCTGTGTCCCAAATCCGAGGCAAGCAGCTTCCTATTTAAATGGGGAAAATATTAGTACCTCCTTCCTAGGGTTGATGTAATCTTATAGATGCTCATAATCAACTTGATTCAGTGCCTGATGTACGAACTTCACTCAAGTTAGGATAACTCAACCCATTTAGAGGAGCTGGGAGGACGGGATGTGGGGAACAGAGGGCTAAAATGATTGCAAGATATCCTCAGGGATGTAGTGGTGAGGGCATCCCTAAGCACAGGCCTCTAGGACAGGCCAGTATGAACAGCAGGCTCACCCAGTGTAGGCACAGGCTGGCTGGCTGGCTTTTGGCCAACAAAATGTGTTTCCCTTTGCCTGGAAACCAGAAGGTGTGGCTGAGGCAGGGCATGGAGAGGCGCCTGCTCTGGACCTCTCTCGTTCCCCAAATGCTGGGAACCAGCTCCCCCCGGGCTGAAGGAGACAAGTTGAGTGGGAAACCACCTGGAAGAACACTTCACGGCTGAAGGTTTGAAAAGGCCTTAGGTCCTTACTGCCTACTGGGTGCCTAGGGTTCAGGCCCAGCCCTGGGACAACAGGTGAGATGGAAGCTGAACGCCTTAGGAAGAGTTCCCCCAAGCCATGATGCGCGGTGCACGGGCTCCTGCTGTGAACTAGAGCCCTGGGTTAACAGGCCCCAGGGACGGGTGGTGGAGCTAGAACAAAGGGTATCCACGCACACTTCCCACCGCAGGTGTGGACCAGGAGCCAGTATAAATGCCCGCTGCCTGAGCTTCAGACCATGTACTCGTACAGCTGCCTGGAGCCCGGAGCGGGCGTCTGGCCTCCGCTGCAGCCCCTCACTTACTCCTACCCGTCCCGCCCTTTGCTGCTGCCCCTCATCCATGCCCACAGCTGCTGCTGCCGGCTTCCGAGCCTGACCGCGGGCGAGTGGCCGGCTCCGCGGGAATACCACTGCTTCCACAGCCAAGGCGCGCCCCTGGCGGCCGCGCCGCCCTCGTGGGCCTTCCCGCAGACCTACGCCGCGGCCCTGCGCCCGCCTTACCCCACGCCCGGCTACCTAGGGCCATTCCTACAGGGGTGCGCGGCGGAGGGGATGGCGGCCGCCCAGCGAAACGCGCCGTGGCCGGAAGGCAGTAGCTTGCAGCTAGAGCTGCGATGGGGCCGCCCGGAGCGTGCTCTGGGCCCGCGCCTCCAGCTGCCCGACGTGGTGCGGCGGGAGCTGCGGCGGATGTACGGCACGTACCCGCGCACCGACGTGCGCGTCACCTACCGCGGCGGCCAGTTCCTGCTTCAGGCCGCGCCGCGCGTCCCCGAGCCTGAGTACCGTGTGCAGAGGCGCGTGCTTCGGACGTCCGCCAGCAGCGGCAGCGAAGACAGCAGCCCGGCCGCTGAAGCGGCAGAGCGTAGCCGTCGGAGGAAGAGAAAAGGCCAGAGCTGAGGACGCTGAAGGGTCCGGTGGCCGGCCGGGTGAGCACGCGTGCGGCTCTCCTCCCCTGCGCGCGCTGCCCACCCGCGACGAGGGAGACCTCCGCGGTGCGCGGGCGCTGGGTGCATCTGTCACTCGCCTTTTTTTTTTTTTTTTTTTAAACCAAAACTGCACGCCTCCCACCTGCTGCATTTCCCTGATTTCTCTCATTTTATTGCTGGATGGCGGGGGGAGGGCGAGAAGATTATCAAGGACATCTCTTCTTGTTTCTCTTCCCTTCTGCTTGGGCTTGGGAAGCCTGGGTTTGGGGTGGAAGAAGGGCCTGGACCCTTTGTTTCGTCTCTCCCTCCTCCCCATCTTAGAAGCCTGCCCTGCACCAAGCACCCACTTTCCCTTTTTCCTCTCCTCCCTCTACCAAAGCTCCCAGAACTGCCCAAGTTCCTTCCCAAGCTGAGGGCCCACCCATCCGCAGATTGTAGTGAAAAGTAAATAAATGAGTGAAGTCAAGTGTATGCTGCGAGATCACTTTTCTGTTTGGGGTGAGTGCGGGTGTTCCTATTTGTGTATGTGAGCCCTACTTCCCTGCCTCTGGAAGAGCCCGTGTGCCTCCCTCATGGGCCGGCCCTACCTCCCTTCTTCATTAGCTCTTCTCCAGTGTGAGGGACGACACACTCCTAGGCCCTGCAGCCAGCCAGGTGGCCTGCCACCCACGGAGGTATTGCCAGAGCATAAGCTCTTTTCTTGAAGCATGGGCGGTAGGCGCAGCTGAGGAAGGAATGCCTAGGATGTAGATTTAGGGCTGCCACTGACACTTTCTAGTCATGTAACTAGTCTTTCTGAGCCTCAGTTTCTTCATCTGTAGAAGCATAGTATCAACCTAGTCTACCTGGAAAGTTCACTAGGGTTGGAATTTAAGATGAATGTCACTTTTCGTCTCCTAATTCTTGCTAACAGTCTTTAACAGGCTGAATTTGCAGTATTCCAGAAGTTTGCGGGAGGGGTAGGCCACACATCCTATGTGAACTATGGGTCTGGCCAGACCCCACATCTGGTGCCCATGCTGTACAAATTTGGCTCCTCGTTAAATTGCTTTTACTGAACTTCCACTTGTTGGATGGAAACAGCTAGCCTGGGTATACAGGTATGTTATTGAAGCTGTGCACCACTTGATTGATTACTGCTATATTTGTGAACTTCATGGAGAAGTTCTCTCAAGCCTCACTACTTGGGAAGGGTGTTTCTCCTAATGAGTGGTTTACTCTTATCTTGGAAGCACCAAGGATCTCATAACTGGTCATATTTTTCTCTTTGCCCTGGCTTCTAGGGAGCTCAGAGGCAAATTTGCTTAGCATCTTTTGTGTAAAGCCTGGATCATGAAATTAGGATCATCCCTAATTTCATCTTATTTTCCTTTCCTTTCCTTTTTTTTTTTTTTTTTTTTTTAATTATAAAAACACAGGGAGGTGGTGTAGTGTAATGAGTCTGCTGTGTGGCCTTAGGTAAATTGCTTAATGTCCCTGAACCAATTTCCTCATCACAAATGGGGATGATGGGGACTTCTATCCCATGAGGTTATTGAGAAGATGCCATGAAATGCACAAAATGTTTACCACAGCGTCTGGCATGTATTAAGTGCTCAAATGTTAGTGTTTGTTTTTAAAATAAAATAGTTGGCTATATAGAAATATATCAAATAGGATAAAAGTCTTTTTTATATCCTCAACCCCAAATGATAAGTAGGTTCCAACCCATTATTTTTCCAATTTTTTTTCTGTGCATGCACATAATATTAATTGCATAAAAGGAATTTCACCGTTTTACCTGTTACATTTTACAGTAAGTATATTTTGGACATCATTCCATGGTAGTGTACCTGGAGCTACCTCATTCTTTAACAGCCACCCAATATTCCATAGCATTTGGATTCTTTCCAGGTTTTAGCTGTTCAAAGTCCATCCAACAAATGTTTTGAGTGCTTATTATTTTTTTAAGTTTATTTTGAGAGAGAGAGAGAGTGAGCGAGCAGGGGAGGGGCAGAGAGAGAGGGAGACATAGAATCTGAAGCAGGCCCCAGGGCCTGATGTGAGGCCTGCACTCACGAACTGTGAGATCCTGACCTGAGCCAAAGTCAGAAGCTTATCCGACTGAGCCGCCCAGGCACCCCTTGAGGGCTTATGATTTGCCAGGAACTGTTCTAGACCCTGGGGATACAGTGATGAATGAGACAGCCATAGCAATTTCTGCCTGTACGAAGCTTACATTTTAGGGGGAGAAATGAGGATGGGGTAACAGGCAAATAGATGAAGGGAAGTTGTTATAAGTACTACAGCAGGAATAAGAGGCTGAAATAGGAAATGTGAGCAGAGTAGTGGAGCCTAGAATAAGATAATCAAGGAAGGTTTCTCCGAGGAGGTGACATTTAAGTTGAGATCTAAAGAATGTGAAGAAGGTAGCCATGCAAAGAGAAGGGTGAGGGAGAAACCAGGCAAAGGGTATAGTGGGTTATCTGTGGGAATATAGTGGGAATGAAGAAAGTTATCTTCATTCACTCAGGAGGCAGTTGAGAATCCATAGCATGCCAGGCCTCATTCCAGGCACTGGGGTTACAGGAGAGAAGCAAACAAGTCCCTGCCCTCATGGAGCTTATTTTAGAAGTGTAACACAGAGAAACAGAGACTGACAACAAGCAAATGGGTGAAACTATGATGTAATATCAGATAGTGATAAATGATGGGGTGCTCTTTTCTTTTTTTTTTTAAGTTTATTTTGAAAAAGAGAATCGCAAGCAGGCTCTGTGCCCAGCTCAGAGCCCCACGTGGGGCTCAACCTCACAAACTGTGAGATCATGACCTGAAATCAAGAGTCAGATGCTTAGGGATGCCTGGGTGGCTCAGTCAGTGAAGCGTCTGACTTCAGCTCAGGTCATGATCTCACGGTTCGTGGGTTTGAGTCCCGCATCAGGCTGTGCGCTGACAGCTTAGAGCCTGGAGCCTGCTTTGGATTCTGTGTCTCCCTCTCTCTCTGCCCCTCCCCTGCTTGTGCTCTGTCTCTCTCTGTCTCTGGGAAATAAACAAATGTTAAATAAATAAAAACATAAGTAAAAGAGATGCTTAACTGAGTGAGCCACCCAGGCAACCCTGGGGTGCCGTTTTCAATAGGATAGCGAGGGAAGGCTTCTCCGAAGAGGTGATTCTTAAGTGGAGACCTAATAAAGACCTTTACAAGCCATTTGAATACCTGGGGGAGAAAAGCAGGCACAACAGCCCTGTGGCTGGAGTGTCCTTGTCCTGTAAGTGAGCAAGAAAATAATGATTAATGAGATTAGAGATGAAGCCAGATCCCGTGGTACCTGGAAGCCGTGTTGAGAATTTTGGACTTTATTCTTAGGGGTGGAGGGTTATAAGCAGAGGAGAATGTGATCAGATTTTTTTTTTTTTTAATTATTCTGGATGCTGTGTGGAAAAGAGACTGTAGAGGGGCCATTGTGTAAATAGGGGGACAAGTTAGGAGGCTTTTAAAGTCATCCAGGCAAATTCAGATGGTGGCTTGGTCTCATTTGGAAGCAGTGAGGGTGATGAGAAAAGGAATGTCCTTGAATATACATCTTTGTTCACATATACAAGTATTAAATTGTTGAATATAAAGTCTTAGAATTAGAAATTGAATCATTGAGCAATGACACCCTGGTGGCAACAAGCACAGCCAGCACCCAGATCTTTGGTTCTAAATTCCATTCTCCACTGAAAGAAACCAAGCACATTGGGAAAATGGCTGTTTCCAAGGCTGTAGCAGGGAAGGTACAAGATGAGCCTGGAACAACTCGTGCCAGAAAATAAAGGACTCCTCAGAAATGTCAAACAAAGGAGCCAGCTTGAAGGGACCTCCACTAGCCAAATCAGGAACAATTTAAACATCAAAACGATCACAGTAACAGATTATTATCTACTGAATAAAATAATATCTATAAGTACATACTAACATTAACTAAATAAACCAATGTGAAAGGAAAGCTTGCTCACAGCAGGAGGAACAATGAGCATAGGAAATCAGCCCAATCAGTAATTGATTCCGGTGAGAATCATTCATAGATACTAAAATTATTGGGCAAAAGTTTGAGGAGAAACAGGCTGTTATATAGTTTAGAGGTATGTTCCAATAAGATATTTATTAATTACAAAGAAAAAAGTAGTAACTTAGTAGAATCGTAGGGAAAACGAGGATAACACTTTAAGCCCACTGCCCAAGTGGTCCCTCTTGAATAAAGTCATTCTCACCATCTTTAATGAGTGTCTTGAAAATTTTTTCTTTAACAAAGACATCATGTGCTTTCTGGTATATTGAACTGAGAAAACACAACATCAACTCAGCAGTAATGCATAATCATGAGGAAACATCAGATAAATGTAAACAGATAACCACAGTGACCTTTATTGTTCAAAAATGTCCATGTCATAAAAGACAAAGGAAGGCTAAAAAGCTGTTTCAGGTCAAAGGAGACTAAGAGACATGAAAACTAAATTCAGGGCATGATCCTGTTTTGGATCCTGGAACAGAATGAAAGTCGTTATGAAGGAGGTGATTGGGACAAGTTGCAAGATTTGAATAAGGACTGTAGACTAGAGGAAGCAAAATGGCAAAGGGTTATTAGTTTCTGAATCTGGAAGAAAGGTAAGCAAGAGTTCTTTGCATTATTCTGCAAACCTTTTTACCTCCAGCCTCCAGCCCCAGTGAGGGAGGAGGGCCAATGATTACAGGCTTTTTGAAGGAGGTACTACCACTCAGCTCAGTCCAGCATGCTGCCATGCACGTACTTCCAAATCCCAGTGTTTGCTCCAGGCCATATGGATGTAAAAGAGCCCTGAAGGGAGCCTAGATGCCCCCTTCTTTGATCTTTTCTTTGAACTTAACCCTTAGAAGCTTATAACTCATAAAACATCTCTGCTGCCAGGGACCTTGCTGTTCACCTGGTCCAATGCCCTCAATTTACATTATGCTGGGAATCCAAAGCCAGAGAGGAGGAGTGACTCACCCAAGGTTATAC